TCGTGCCGTACTAAACTCGAACCTGAATACTTTGAACCATACCTGCGTCGAGCCTGAAAACCAGTATCAGGCCGGTGTACCAAATAGAGGCCGAACTCGCACGGCCATGCCGTGATAGCACCAATCCTGTTCCAAGCCCGAAAATAAATACCAGCTCACAGTGCCGCGTCGGTGCCGAACCAAACCRGACTTGAAACAACCGARCCTGTAAACGACGYCGATGCGTCTCTCTCTGTGGCCGAAGATGTGTACCTCAGTGATGTTGGACCAATACTGAACACGAGACATAGCAATGCCGTGCCCATATCGAACCTGAAACATGTCGACGTCGACCCCATACAGCCCTGCCGTGAAAATTCCGGACCTGTCCCAAACCTCACGCCTGAACTGGAACAACAATCATACCGACGCAATGGAGCCGTGGGGCACTATCAAGCCACATACTACTAACACCACGCTGTCCGTCCAATCCGTACTCATAACACGCAGATTGCAGCAAGTCTAAAAATCGGGGAGATCAGGTAAATCCAGCCAAGAAATCCCAAGATCACAAATTAATGAAGACCGTCAGATATAGAATAAATAAATGATTTGGGGTTGAACTCGATCCTGAATAGACCGACCAGAATTTCGTCGATCATCTGATAATCATGGGGTTTCTTCCCTCTTATCATTGATATCAAATTTTCTTATTTCTTAATCCTTTTATCAAGATTAACAAAAAATAGAAGCAATCTTATCAAAAATAAATTCCGATGGCATTCAATGAAATGACGAAAATTCTTTGTTTTCTTTTTCTTTTATTGCTTTTGCATTTTTTTCTTGTTTTTAATTATATTATCGAAAAAATCAGTAATTGAGGGCGGTCCCATTTAAAATTAATTTAACGAAGATTTTAAATAAATCAATGAATATTTCATTTTTCTCCTCTTTCTTTCGTTTTTAATTCTTTTTTTCATTTTTAATTTTAATATTAAATTTAATTAAATGTGGGGCCCCCTTCCTCGCGCCCTTGGGACACCGTAACAAGGCCTCGTCAAGGCTTATCCTCAATTAACCGTCCCGCAGCCAGTCGTTTCAGGGACAGGCCTAGAGCGACGGAAATGAGTCAAACAATAAGGTAGCCGTGAGGGCATCGAAGCGGTAGTCCCTCTCGCCAATTTCTAGAGCTAGTCCTAATAGTTGACACATTCAAAAGTAGGGGTGACCTGACTACCACTAATTTCTCCCAGCCGGCTGGACAAGACTCCCGGCCGATCCCCTCTCATACAGCTTTTCTACGAGTCAACCTCGTGGTATTAGGGTGGCCGACTAGCCTTCGGTCGCCCGACAGCATGGCCATTCACGTTCATGAAGGTGGTCGACCGCACCCCTCTCCGTCCCCCCCGCCCTCTTGGAGATGGACCCCATTGCCTCGCGCCCATGGAAAAAAATGGCAGACCGGTGTTTTTTGGTTTCCACTCGTATGGAAAACCGCATGGAAAGCCACAATGGAAAGTTTTTTCAGATCCATCGACTGTGGAAGAATGTACCTGGAAACATCTTAAAAGCATTTCTACAAGGTTGGTGGCTTGGAAAACGATTGCGTCATCCTTCCACGAGCTTTCCAAAACCCAACGGAGAAGGTGGGGTTCATGTTCTCCCTTAGAAAAAAAAAGTTGTGCGCATGTGGTCCAACTGATGACATGGTGGACCGTTTTATGGTCGGGCAAACCCCCACGGACATCCGTTGTCCGGTCGTATGGTTTCAGTGTAGGCCCTTGCATGGCTGTCCTGCGCGGCCCCTTATTTTCGAAACGGCAATGATTTTCGAATTTGAAATCGGGCGGGTTTGGGACGATGGCAGCCATGCACCTTTGATCCAGTTGTGCAGTAGCACCATATGAATGCACTTGTGAATCCCGACAACCATGCACATTGTTCCCATCTTGACTGTCGATATACGAATGTGTGTTCGCAGTGCAATGCCATTGCTGGACACACACACACACACACACACACACACACACACACACACACACACACACACACACACGCTGACGCACACGCACCTTTTTTTCTCTCTCTCACTCTCTCTCTCTCACACACACACACACTCACATACACACGCACACACTCACATACACACGCACACACTCACATACACACGCACACACATTATCCTCTCTATTGATGAAGAGCGCCACCTGCTGGAAACTGGGTCCAGTGTCTCATGAACATAGTGAATAAAGCACAAACTGGGACCCCCCCCCCCCACACTCTTCGAGTTCTGTATAGCGAATATGACAAAACGTACATACAACATAATCACACCTGTTCACCCGCTGCATGACGGTGAGAATCAGGAAGAAAAGCATGTCCTCCCGATCCTCCTGCGAGTCGGTCGCATACTCCGCATCCATGGTTTTTGCGTTGCGTTGTAGGGATGGTGGGTGGGGACACGCACACAACTTTCTCCCACACATGACGTCGCCAAAGACAACGATCCACAATTCGTTTTTCTCACCACACCTTCGTCTTGGCTATGGCAACCTTCATCACAAACTAGCGGGATGTCCCAATTTTTGGTAGTCCGGGTCTCACTCCAATAAGGCCCACCACGAGGAAGAAAAAAAACAACAAAAATATTTTCGAATTCAAATGCCGCAAGTTCCAACGTCCCCTTTTCGACGCCTAGGGGACTGTTGAACAATTAACCATTCCACCAATTCATTGACTTACATGAGGGTACGGGTGCACAACTCGTAGTTTGTTTGTTGATGTGGTTCGGGAAGGGTAAGGTAGTGATTATGTTGTATGTACGTTTTGTCATGTTCGCTATAAACAACTCGAAGAGAGTGTGTGGGGGGGGTCCCAGTTGGTGCTTTATTCACGGGGCTCATGGGATGCTCGACCCAGTTTCGAGCAGGTGGCGCTCCCAATCAATAGACAGGAGAATGTGCGTGCGCGTATATGTGTGTGTGTGTGTGTGTGTGTGTGTGTGAGAGAGAGAGAGAGAGAGAGAGAGAGAGAGAGAGAGAGAGAGAGAGAGAGAGAGAGAGAGAG